GTAATTACAGTTTTGCATAAGCGATTAAGATGACACACAAAATTTACTGGAGCAATTTCCTAAGAAGAACAAAACCTTGAGTGACTGTACCTGGATTTTGTTCAAGTGATTGCTGAGGTTTAAATTTGCCACACGTAACTGAAGCAGATGGTATTTTTGTATTCAGCCTGATTCATTCTATACTTCAGCAGGATCAAAAGCTTACAAAAGCTTAGGGTATCCAGCTGCTAGAAGAAATACCCCACAAGATACTTCTCTAGAAGGTGAACAGCTGATGGCCTGGATAAAGCCACTGGGCTTCTCTCAGGATCAGAGACCTTACAACACCAAGCATCCCAAGGCAATTCAGTACTTCTCCAGCTTTCTGCTGGCTCTGGCCTTCATAAGTATACGTTTTATCACCTTTCCCTTCTCTACACACAAGAAAGAGGCTCTAGACATTTCTAAAAGCAAACTGCAGGGAGCAAGGAACACAAAGCTTAAGCTATGACTTACTGTAGCTGGGACAAAAGAACTAAATCCAAATCCAAGAAATTAAACAGGGAAAACCCATTTTAAAGCTTTATTCAACAGGGCATATTGGATACCTTGACCACAGCTTAAAATGCTATTGAAACACACACAAGATAGATTTTTTAAATCAAACATCTCAGTACTGAATTATTGGACTAAGAAGAGCAGTCAAGTCTTGGAGTGCAGATGGCTCTCCACAGTACTAAAACTCAAGGAGAAACTTAAAACATGTTTCCCTACACAAAACTCATTGCCTCCTTCCAGTCCTTCCTACTGCTACATACTGACCTCCATCCCGAGGTCTAGGACTCTCCCTACCACTAGCATTCTCTAGAATGTGATAAACACATTCTAACGTATACTGCTGCTATCCCAAATATTTCTAAACTATGGCCTGTGTCCTGCTATTTTACTTAGGCCTTGAGAAAAAACAGAGAACAAAGTTAAAATGGTTCCCATCAATTCTTTCGACAGTACAAGCTTGTAATAGTTCATCTGACCATGAAATAGAATCTCTGCCATGAAAATTTAGAAAATAAAAATACTCAGTCACATACCTTGAAGCTTGACATTAGAAAAGACGCACACAGCTTTCACGACAATTACTATGGTAACTCTTTATCATGTACACAGAACTGGAAAATTTCAGACTAAAATAACATCACTTCCACAGACGTTGCGCAGGAAAACAAGAGTCTCATGAAAACAAGTATTAATCATTAATACTTTATCTACTTTTAATACAGATTTGAATGGCTGCCAAAGAGGGGGAGAAGCATCTGCAGGGCTGCTGTATCTCAAAGTTCTACACTGAAAGTTCATGTATGCTGGACATGAGAAAGCCTGCTACAACAGATAGGTTAGGGAGAGGATATGGCTATAAAGTAAACAACTCTCTAAGACAGTCACACTGAATCACCACCCCACCCTACATTTCTATGTTGATGTTTTACCTCAGAGTTACCTAAAAGAACATTGCCATCCTTTGCCATAATACCAAATGCAGTTTCCTAGTCTTTATACGGACTTCATTTCTAAAGAACAATAATTTGAAAACAAGTCCTTTCCTTTGTCAAGATAGTACAATCCTCACTCAAATAACTCAAGAATTGAAGCTGAAGTCTATTTTGGACGATCACGCATACCGTTATATTAAATAGGAGATTAAAATTTGTTTGTAAAGACTTACAGTGGGACAAAAAAAAAAAAATCCAACCAACCACCCACCACCTTTCTGGTACAACTCAATTTAAATACATATTACGTTCTAAACAAGAAAAAGCAAATATTCTAGGTCACTCAAAATTCATAACTGACATTTCAGCAAAATACTGAAGTTAGCATTCCTTGTTCTACAGACCAGCCTAGCTTTCATGGAATCTGAAACAGCTAAAAAAAAAAAAAAAAAAAAAAAAAAAAAACACAATGAAAAACCAGAGTTACATGGATGTACTTCATTTTTAAAGCTTACGGTAATTTACTTATTTTTAACTAAGTCCACTTTTCAAAGACAAGACAGAACCATGAGCTTTTCCTGAAAATAAATAAAGTATTTTTTGTTTTTAGTGAAGTCTCTTTCTACTTTAATAATGAAAATTATTTTTTTCAGTTGTATGCTGAAGAATGACAGTACAAACTCAATGGCTGAGATAGGAGATGTTACTAATATTACTAATGATATTCATTAAGACTAAGTATTTGTACCCAGTAATTATGTACAAGTTGGGTCAATTAACTGTTTACTTCCTGAAAACCATGGCAAGAAAATAGTTGTGTTTAATAAACTGAGTATAAAAAAAAGAATCTAGCTTTCAGTTGTATGGACACAGAAGAACTTTCTAAAGTTTTTTAAGTGCTTCAATCATCAGAATAGAAATGGTAATCTTTGAAGGCAAGAAGCCGAGCAATACTTCTCATTCTAAATGTCTTATGGGCAAAGAAAAGGATTGGGAAATTCTGTATATTCATGGGTAACTGAAATTCCTGCAAGTTGCTTTTTAAAATGGGAAACAGTTTGTCTTATATTATCGGTATGTAAACAGGTTCTAATAATACATTAAAGATCTTTTCATAAACATCCTCAGATTTTCAACTGAAGCTTAAAATAACACTTTAAAAATCATACTTACAGAATTTACCTGGATCTAAGTTTCTGTTTAAGAGGAAGGCATCTAACATTTTGCAGGTTAAGCCCTGCAAATTGTCAACATAGTCTAAAGAGCAGTTCAATAGAATGCTGATTACATTCAGTAGCTGCCTGTAATCAGGATCTATAATTAAGAGGCATGGCTGTATGTAAATAGTGTCATTTGAGAGTTTACCTAGGTATTCAAGACAGCTGAACATGACTGACAGATACAACAACATTCTAACAGCAGACTCCTGCCCTTGTACATATGGCTGCCAGAGAGTAAGCTGGAGACTGAATCCTCCTGTGCAGCAACAGATGCCTGTCAGCAGGCAATGTACTTGAGCTTTAGGAGTCTACAACAAGCTTAAGAGCATTCTAACTGCACTAAGGATTGACTTAACCTTCATTGACTGCAAGCAGGGCTTAGACACCTTGCATGTCAACACCAACACACAAGCCTTTATGTTTAGGCAATCTCAGTCTCTTAAAGTCTCATGCCAGTATCCCTCCTCACGTGTGCATTAGTAAGAATTATTTCTGTACTCATGCAGCCAGTCAAAATAACTGAGCATACATCCTCCTGCTGCAATATGAGCATATTGATTCAAATAAGAGGAAAGGCACAATTAAGGATGAACAACAACAAAACAACGATGGCAAATAGGTAGATGTTTCTACTGAGAGGAACCAGAGAAGTTAGATCATAGGAAATCTCATCCTAGATCTAGCACTCCCTGGTACTGATTTCTATATGATCACACAGGGCACCGAAGTTAATAAAATTCTCTGCAACTTTTAGAAGTTTTTTCCCCCCTATAGTTTGCACCCCACTTTTTACAATAGTGATAAGATTTTCCTGCCTGTCTGCTCCTAAAACAGATTATGCTGAAAGTTACTACTCTGCTGGGGCATGCTGCCTATAGGTACCTCAAGGAGGCATTTCATGTAGCAGATGAGCTTCAAGAAGTGAGAAGTTGTTTACAGGCATTAAGATACACTCTGAAAGGAACTGAGGTGGGGGAGATGGGGATCCAGCCTCAGGTGGAAAGCACATGGGCAGCAGCACAAGTAAACACCAACTTACAGGGTAGCCCACAGGCTCAGGAAACACCCTCCAGGTTCTCAGTGGAACTTGCTCAGAACAAGAGTGCCACTCAGAACTACAGTCCCTCTATTGACCGCCAACAGCACAAAGGCTTCAGATATCTCTATGCAGGTCACAAGCCAAGAGCCTATTACCATAAAATACAAGCTCTATGGAAAAGTTGTCATTCCAAATATCATACAGACTATATACGTCATATTAAATGGAGTCTGGTACCCTGCAAAGAAGAGTGTCAGAAAATCCTACAGCACTGATGCACAGCATTCAAACTTGAGTGTGGAGAGGATTGGTAACACTATAACTATTTTTTCCAACAGAAAGGGACATGAAGAATCAAACAAACAAACAAAAAAAAAAAAAACAAGGAAAATGTTTCCTTAATGGAAATTTTAACTTAAAAAAGCAAACAATAACACTGCAAAGTTTTGATTTGCAATTATGATTCTGAAATATCAAACACCATCAAACAAACATCATAAATTCTGCTCAGACAACATTCTTTGCTAAGATGGACCCCCCAAACCAGAGTTCACTTCCTGTAGTGCATCTTAGGTATATAAAAAATAGTTTTTCCAAGTCATTTCACTGAGCTTGGATTTGGTATTGGCTTCCCTGCACCACCCCTTCCCTTCTGTTTCTTTACTCTTCCACATTTCTTTATCCTGCGACTGGAACAATTTACATGTGGATTTTACTATACCAGATGCTTCCTCTTTGCTGGTCTATTTCTATATTAGAACCGAAGTTAGGTTCCACATCTTCAATTACAACTCACAAAACAAAGTCCTACTATTCTTAAATGCAGCAGAACTAATCCAAGGAGCACATATAATTAATCACAACAGCTAGCAGCACAATATTTAAAATAACTGAGGCCTGCCTGGATTATAGCAACACTAATAGTATGTGATTAATAAGCAGTTGAAGAATTGCATTTGCTACACATTTGCTAAGTTATTTTATCTTGCTTTAAAGTTAGGTGGCAAAGTTTCAAGCCATAGTTAGGAGATTTGCTTTGTTCAGTACCACGTTGTTAACCCTACCATCTGGTCAAACAGCTGAGGGAACTCAGACAACCGTATGGGAGGCCCCATGTTTCTATCTGGGGAAGTATTTGTCTTATTGAATTATGCAATGGTTACCAGTTTCAAACTTAATGCACTATGATCAAGAGGACTCCACATCAAATTACGTTGTAGATAAACTGAGTTTTGTGGGCTTAACTTATGAAGGAAATAAGATGGCACTTACTTGAGGACCAGGCTGACCCTGAAAAATAAGAAAATCATAAGGTTATGGAAAGCAGTGACAAAGATTAGGTCATTAAACACTAGCAAAGAGTTAAAGAACTTTATGAAAGAAATAACAAACAATCCAGTAATAGTAATGCAATCAGAGCCTGGATTTCTAAGTCCAACATTTAATTTCAGTGTTTTAATTCAAACTGAAACTCTGTTGCAATTAAGTGATTCCAGAAATAAATAACACTAACTCAACTGAACCAGTATTTGAGAAACTTCATACTTTACATAGTAACAACAATACAAGTTAGAAATTACAGAAAGACGCAATTTAACAATTCTTAAGTGAGAAAGAATCTACAAATATTGAACTGATTTATAAGTAGGTATTGGACGCTTTTCCTCCCTTGAATCGCAGGAATGAGCCACAATGAAGTGCTAACTACTGGCTATTGAACAAAGTCAAAAAACTGCAGACACAGAAGGCTGAGGAAACAAGACTGTCTTTTTGCCATTCTTGCAAGTAGCACAGTTTTCAACAAGCATAAACTGGTATTTAAACCAGAAAAACAGCAACCAACGAACACCTGAGGTGGCAGCCCAAGAGGCAGCTTGGGAACCTACTCATCCTTGTTGTTTCCCTTACCTACCAACATAACATTTGGGACTACCCTGTGCACAAACAGGGAGACGCCTACTGCAAACCGAGGAGCTGTGTACATCTATTGATTCTGTAAGTGCTTCCAGAGTAGATTTCCTATCACTAATGCTCCTACTCTAGGAAAGTCACTGAGTCACCAGCAGTTCTAGCTCACTTGTTACAAATTATTTGCATGAATTAGAAACATAACGCAAAACAGTTAGAGTAGCTGTGAACCACAACCATCTGGCCAACTTGCACTCTAAGACATAGATGTCTGCCTCCTTAGAAAGGGACAAATTCTTAAATAAAAATAAATAAATAAATAAATAAAAAGCTAACCTAGCCCTTGGAATTTAATTTCCCTGAACTACATAGGTTGCTTCAAAATTAATGTCTCCTATTTATTTTTATGGAAACCAAAACAGATACAAAGAGCACAATAGAACTATTTAATAGAGCAAGTTCTCAGCTACACAACTGTTTTTCAATTTAGTCTCCACTATTAGCTGCGCATTTTCACCAGCAATCAACTGTATGCCACATTCATAAAAATCTGCACTAGCAAAGGTGACCCACTATTGCCACTGCTGAAAACACTCCATCCACTCATGTGCTCATGCCCACTGTTTGGCCTCTACAAACATTCAGCAAACATTGATGAATGCCAATGGGTGCCATTTTTTCCCCATGGACAAATTCAGTTCTGCACCTTTGCTTAACACGCTCTTCCATGTCTGAAGATGCTTTGTCAGACTGCCTCCTCTGCTGCCATCTGGCACACAGTAATAAAATGGAACAGAATATCAGCAGGAAGGTTAGGCATCTACAGCCATACCATCATCTGCCTCTGACACTATGGGCCAACAAAATAAAATAGGAGGCATTAATTTAGGAGTAGCCCTCTTGTTTTCTGTGAACAATTTTTCTTCAACTTTCCATCTGGAAAGCAGCTTTGCAAGGAATGACAGGGGAGTTCTGGTGGACACCAAGCTGAACATTGGTCAACAGTACACTCTAGCCACAAGGAAAATCAACAGTATTCTGGGTGGCACGAAGCAAAGTATTGCCAGCAGGTCAAGGGAGGTGATCCTTCCCTTCTACTCAACACTGGTGAGATCTCACTTGGTGTGCTGAGTCCAGTTCTGGGTTCCTCAGCACAGAAGGATATGAATATACTACAGGGAGACCAGTAAAGAACTACCATGGAAGCAAAGGTTGAACAAGCTGGGACTGTTCAGCCTGTTCAGGACACAAGCAGCCCAGAGACTTCATGGAATCTCCTTCCTTGGAGATCTTCAAAAGCCACCTGGGCAGCCTGTTCTGGGTAACCCTGCTTGATCAGAGGCCGGACCAGATAATCTCCAGAGGTTCCTTTCCACCTGTATTAGTCAGTGATTCTGTGAGACTTTGAAAAAAGAAAATGCATTTCACCAAAGACATGCTATGTACAAGAAAAGCAGCTGAAGAACAATTTATTTTTACTTTAGCAGTTATTTTTTGTGCTAATTAAAATTAAACAGAAAAGCATTCTTAATTTACATGCAAGCTTAAAAAAAAAAAACAAATATAAGATATTAGAAAATAACGTTAGAGAGGGATCATAGTGAAAATATGGAGTTACTGTGGCTAACCTAATCCTTACACTGAAGGAGGCCCAAAGCATTCCTTGTTATAGATGCTGTAACCTTGTAATAGTTCCATGTGAGAATATTGTTGTATACGCATTTTCAGACAAAAAAAAAACTGACAAAAGCTTGCCAATTCTAATACAGAGATTTCACAATGGCTCAGTTCTATGAAATTACATGTCTCACTTGGTTAATAAACATGCTAGGAGCCCTCTGCACTCAGCTTTTACCTTAATCTTCCCATCAATGCAGGTTTTAAGCCATTATATGCTCCACTTGATCCTAAAAATCACTGAAATTGCTTACTGATGCAGTATTGAGCAAGCTGTACAATAAATTGATATAAATGAACTGAATACATACGAACTTTCATATATAAAATACACAGTATATTTGTCTCTCAACAATATTAGAAGATGTAATACATTTTGACCAAATCATGAAAAGGTTTCCAAGGGACACAAAAAACTTGAAATCTGAAATCAACAAAATGCTAATTTAAAGCTGTAGAAGGCAAACAGGAAAAAAAAAAAAAAAAAAACAAGATTTGAAAACTAACAGATTATTCTCCATGCTTAAACACATGTAGGACACTCAGCATTCACACGGTACATGCTATGTATAAGATAAGAGACAGACATACATGATAGAAACACACTCTGACAAGGGTGAAAGAAGGTCATGCTCCTATGAAAGCACTTTCTACTGTCAGCCTCAGGAGCACAACCAGCCTTCTCAAGTGTATCTATAATTACTAGCTTAACGTATCTGAAATACAGAAGGAGAAATTAGATTTTTTAAAAGACACTTGTTTTTCGTAGTGACACAGAACTCTGAAATAATGATAAATATAATAGTTGAGTTACCCTTAATTTCTGTAGATCTTCTACCTTGCAGTCATCCAGAACTTAACAGAAAATATGGATGCTGAATACAGAAGTACTCATAGCACAGTTTTTTGATCCTGCTAGCTACAAGGCCCTTGAACATAGAAGGAACTTCGCCTTAATGATGATAATTATTTTCTGGTTTTAGTCATTCTCAATCCTTCAACATTTTTGGACGCTCTTAGATTCTCCTTGCCCTACTAAACAGCAAATGCAGTTTCAGTATAGTTTTCTCACTGATGATGCACTAAGTGACATTAATGAGAGAATGCAGCAAGGACTGTATTACAGAAATCAGCTCTGCTTGAGAAGGTACAGGCACAAAGAAGCTCAACAACTGGGAGACAAAGAAGAGGAGTTCATTTTGCCTTTTCTCAACATCGTATACAGTGCAAATTAAAAAACAACTTTCAATTATGATCTAGTATTGTATTTCCTTGGAGGAAACTCAATTAATACGTTTGTGCTCCCAGGAGGCCTCCAAGATAACCAAAATCACTCTGACTCAGTATTACACAAATTAGTCCTAATGCACATGGCTTTTGGATTAAAAGGTTTTATTTAGTCATATTTATCTTACTTTAGAATAAAAACAAAAATGGGTGAAAATACTCTAAGACTGAGAAGTCACCAAGCCAGCACTACTCCTTTTTAAAAATATTAGTAAATTCTCTTTTATTCTTATGTTATTTAGTGCAAAACTCAGACATCAATTGCAAATACTGAAAGGGGAATATATGGAATATATGTGGATGGAGATTCTGTTTTAGATCTCAGTGAAGGTGAGCAGGTTTGTATTAACAGAGTTCACAGTAGACTTTGGCCATATATATTTTTAAACAGTGTAACTTATGTACTTTTTATTTCTTTGAAACTGAAGCCCAATCTTCCTCAACAAAACATCTTGTCTCCATATTAACTGGCTCTCAGGGACTGCCATATCAGCCTTGCTTAGATCCATACTCTGAAAGTGGTTTTAGTCTACTCTCTAGGATCAGATCAGGTTTTGAAAAATCTATCTGGGTTGCTGCTTCTTTTCAGCAATGTTTTGAGTGATTGCTCTGAGTAGAAGGCAGAATAGCAATGAACCCTCTTATTCTTCCACTGATCCATCTCTTCAAGGCTAACAAAGTTAGCTTGGTAATAATGTAAACAGAAGCAAGAGATGCACAGGAAAGATCACCTGCACTGAAATAATCTGAACATCTGAAATAAAAAAAGAAATAAGTGGTGCATTATTTTGCTTGAAATTGTGATAGGAAGTATCAGGAAGAAGTCAACAGCAGGCAAGAGGACACCTGGAAGCAGTCTGCAACCTCCAGCTGTAGTTCCAAAACAGACATGAACATCTGTGGACAGCAGATGCCCATATTCTTCAGCTTGGGTTGGAAAGTTTAATAGGGTTTCATTTTTTGTTCTTAGCCTGTTTCATTTAGTGTGCTGTGTCTCCCTACCAGTCTGTTCTCTGTATACACTTACATAGCAGTCCGAGCATTATTAAGTTACCTGGTGTATTTATGAAGTTCATCTGCATTCTTATTGTATGCGTAGCTGCTCTCAGGTTTTCAGCAGTCTTCAGAAGACATTACCTTTCTGTGTTTTTTTTTTTTAATTGCATTTACCAACTTAATATGCTATTTGGCAGGAAAGAAAGTGGTTAAGTTTGACAGCCAATTCTAATTACCTTGACTGAAGGACTTGTACCCTTGGTTGCTGACCAACTTCCATGCAATTTAACTTAGCAACTGTGGATATGTAAATGACAGTAAAAGAGGAAGATAAAGATATACAGTCTAGACAGGTCAAGATGAAGTCGACAGGTAAGCTATTAATCTGCTAGAAGAGAAGATTAAAGGATGTCTATTGACCA